AGCTGGAGCACCCTCTGTATTTTCCTCGTCCTGGCAGATGCCTTTCGTTGGCCAAGGTTTCAGCACAGGATAAATGTGATAAAGTCAACAGGCAAGGGTAGTTAAATGGAAAGAGTATGAGAAGTTCAATGATAGGTGGGTAAAAAAAAAAGAACAAGAAGAAGAAGACTACGCAGACATGCTTAGCAACATTCTAAAGTTTTAAGGATATGGTACGAGGACAGCTTTAAACACCTTTATAATAGGCTAGAATACTGTCTCCTTGGTAACAAAAGACAGTAGACTTTATATCAGCTAGAACCAAATGCAACCTGCTGTCCAGGCCAGTTACCAAATGGATCTTGTTGCTATTAAAATGATCACCAGGGAGTTCAAGGACTTGGGAGTCATTTGAAATGGCCTTGGAAAATATGTTGAAAGGATTGCCTCAAACCATTTTCCCTGGTGCTTGTTCTTTGTCCCTGTGCTCTAAGATACAGTACATGATAAAATATATCCTGTAAATTTATAGTGTGTCCAGAAAATGCCAAAGTGCTTAAGGCTCTGACATTGTTTTCATTAGAAATAGATACTTCAGGGAATGTAAATGCCAACTTTTCAAATTTGCTATGAGTAGAAAGTCCAAATGATGCCAGCTTTTAAAAATATGTTGTATTGTGTGACGCTCTGGACCAGCTGCTGGTGAATTAGCATGGAGAAAGGCTCTCATGGAAGATGCAAACAAAAGCACAGGTATGCCGATGGTCATACTCGCTGAGACCCAGGAACTTGAATATGTAGCTAACCTCATCTTTCTTCAACCTCACCAATGCTAGTCAGTAAATCTGAGAAAGGGAAAATAGACTACAGAGTAGTAGCCTTTAACATCACAATACAGCTCTTTCCTGTCCAGGGGCCTTCTTCCCATCCATTTGCAGGCAGGAGAGTTGTTCCTTTATCATTATTTTTGTTTTTTTGTTTTGGTTTGGTTTGGTTTTGGGTTTTGTTTTCTTTTGTTTTGTTTGGAGCCCTTGTGCACAAGGGGCCACAGCTTCTATGCTGCTAAAAAGTACCAGGCCCAACCTGCCCTTGTACCTGTCCTTTGCTTTCCACTGGGAAACCATCACATCAAATCACCATGAGAGCAGGCCAGGCTGTCTGTTTTTGCACCCTCTAGTCCCTCTATCGTAGACTCTATAAGAATTCAAGCCAATGCTTTTCTTTTTTTTTTTTTTAAAGATTTTATTTATTTATTTGAGAGAGAGAATGAGATAGAGAGCATGAGAGGGGGGAGGGTCAGAGAGAGAGGCAGACTCCCTGCTGAGCAGGGAGCCCAACGTGGGACTCGGTCCTGGGACTCCAGGATCATGACCTGAGCCGAAGGCAGTTGCTTAACCAACTGAGCCACCCAGGCGCCCAAGCCAATGCTTTTCAAATCATCCCCTGACTGCCTGTGAGATAAGTCTTCTGAGGTTTTCATGCTGAATGAAAAGCTTGGAGTCATCACCCGTTCCAGGTAGGAGGCCAGATGACTGGATAACTGTTCTCAAGCCTAATTCTGTATGCAGTGATGGTAGAGCATCCCCTTGCAATTTTTCTTTAAGCAGAGAAGATGTAGTTATCCTTTCCTCAACATGGGGATAATAGAGAGACGATAATATCTAACTTTCAGCCATGGCAGAAGATGAGGATGGGCATGATAATGATGCCTCCTTAGCCATAAAATGGTGCTTCTGTTGTCTTCAATAAACATGAATTTCTCATACAGTTTGTGCCAGGTACTGTGTCAGACATTGGAAGTATAGAGAGGAATAAGAAACACTTCCTGTTGTGTAAGGAGTTCACAGGTTTTTTTTTTTTAATTTTTATTTTTTATTAACATATAATGTATTATTTGTTTCAGGGGTACAAATCTGTGATTCATCAGTCTTACACAATTCACAGCGCTCACCATAGCACATACCTTCCCTAATGTCCATCACTCAGCCTCCCCATCCCTCCTACCTCCCTCCACTCCAGTAACCCTCAGCTTGTTTCCTGAGATTAAAAGTCTCTTATGGTTTATCTCCCTCTCTGGTTTCATCTTGTTTCATTTTTCCCTCCATTCCCCTATGATCCTCTGTCTTGTTTCTCAAATTCCTCATATCAGTGAGATCATATGATACTTGTGTTTCTCTGATTGACTCATTTTGCTTAGCATAATACCCTCTAGTTCTATCCACGTCATTGCAAATTGCAAGATTTCATTTTTTGATGGCTGCATAATATTCCAGTGTGTGTGTGTGTGTGTGTGTGTGTGTGTGTGTGTGTGTGTGTGTGATATATCTTTTTTATCCATTCATCTGTTGATGGACATCTTAGCTTTTTCCATGGTTTGGGTATTGTGGACATTGCTGCTATAAACATTGGGGTGCATGTGTCCCTTCGGATCACTACATTTGTATCTTTGGGGTAAATACCCAGTAGTGCAATTGCTGGGTTGTAGGGTAGCTCTATTTTCAACTTTTTGAGGAACCTCCATACTGTTTTCCAGAGTGGCTGCACCAGCTTGCATTCCCACCAACAGTGTAAGAGTATTTCCCTTTCTCCACATCCTCACCAACATCTGTTATTTCCTGACTTGTTAATTTTAGCCATTCTGACTGGTGTGAGGTGGTATCTCATTGAGGTTTTGATTTGGATTTCCCTGATGCCAAGTGATGCTGAACACTTTTTCATGTGTCTGTTGGCCATTTGGATGCCTTCTTTGCAGAAATGTCTGTTGATGTCTTCTGCCCATTTCTTGATTGGATTTTTTATTCTTTGGGTGTTGAGTTTGATAAGTTCTTTATAGATTTTGGATACTAACCCTTTATCTGATACGTCATTTGCAAATATCTTCTCCCATTCTGTTGGTTGTCTTTTGGTTTTGTTAACCGTTTCCTTTGCTGTGCAAAAGCTTTTTATCTTGATGAAGTCCCAATAGTTCATTTTTGCCCTTGCTTCCCTTGTCTTTGGCGATGTGTCTAGGAAGAAGTTGCTGCGGCTGAGGTCGAAGAGGTTGCTGCCTGTGTTCTCCTCAAGGATTTTGATGGATTCCTGTCTCACATTTAGGTCTTTCATCCATTTTGAGTCTATTTTTGTGTGTGGTGTAAGGAAATGGTCCAGTTTCATTCTTCTGCATGTGGCTGTCCAGTTTCCCCAACACCATTTGTTGAAGAGACTGTCTTTTTTCCACTGGACATTCTTTCCTGCTTTGTCGAAGATTAGTTGACCATAGAATTGAGCGTCCATTTCTGGGCTCTCTATTCTGTTCCATCGATCTATGTGTCAAGGAGTTCACAGTTTTAATTAAAGAGCTAGATTCATTAATACATAAGACGGTGCAGGGTTATGGGTGCTTTGATGGTGGTAGCCATGCAGACAGCATTATTGGAAGGACATAGATGAGGTCTCCTCCTGAAAACTAGAAAGGTCAAGAAAAGTTTCTGGAGGGGAAGAAAAGTGAGCTGAAAATTCCATAATGAACAAAGTTAATCAAAGAAGGGATTTGGGTCAGGGAGTGGTATCTGGAGTGGAGACCAGAAGGAGGGATGAATTAGTAAAGAAGGAGGAAAGGAGTTCTAGTGCAGGAAGCAGAAGCAAGAGATTAAATGACAAATTGGGGAGACATCAAAGAGCCGTGCATGCGTGATTATAGAGGTCACTGCAGTGGCAAGTAAGGACAGCCGAGGATGAGAGGCCAGCAGAGAGCTGACCCTTAGGGGCTCTGGATGCCTTGGTGTGAAGGAAGTTGCATGCCAAGCTGAAGGTTATGAGGAGCCAGTGAAGAATTTCATTTGGAGGAGTAACGTGATCTTGCTCGTTTTCAAAGATCACACTGTCCTTGAAATGAACTATGACCCAGGTATAGTGGAATTCAGAGGTGAGCTGGGGACAAATAGTGGGGAAAATCTTACATGGCATTTAAAGAGAAAGATACTTTTGACTCCTCTTTTATCTATTATTTAGCTTAGGGTCTTCAAATTTGTACATATATATTTTTAAGAAAAATATATTCACACTGTCATTAATATTTTTAGAAATATCTTCTTTTTTCCCTAGAAGGGAATAAATTTAAGCCAGAGATGGGAAAGAAGATTTTGCTTAAGATCCTCGGTCTTTTTTTTTAAGATTTTATTTTTAAGTAACCTCTACATCCAATGTGGGGCTCGAACCTACAACGCTGAGATCAAGAGTTGCATACTCTACCCACTGAGCCAGCCAGGTGCCCAAGATACTCAGTCTTTCTAATAAAATGATTGCTGCTGAAGCCCAGGAGAAATGAGCTATTTGAACCTGATGTGGAGGAATTTATTCACTATCCTATGTCTTTCAGGTCTAGGAGGTACCTTGAGGTATTTATATACTAAGTTTGGTCAAGTTGGTAGAAGATCAGGTTGTACTGGCTTCTTGATCAACAGGTGCTGAATTTAGTGTCTAGACCTAATTCAAATGGAAACATTTTTCTTTATCCCTTAAATCTTAGCTAACATTCACTGATAAGAATCATGAAAGCAGGTCTTGCCTACATAATCAGCAAATTGACCATTTAAAAGTCCATTCAGTGACTCTGGCTTTCTTATGTGGCACATTCAATTGATTTGTTGATTGTTCTGAATTGGCCATCAGAACAATACCAAGTTGCTCTTTTATCAAGTACACATGGCCTAAGTTTATAGTTTTGAATTTAGCACTATCTCACCAAATACAAAATTCATCAGTCAACTTAAATGTGGTGGTCATAGTAAACATTTGTTATGTTTTTGGTTAGTCAGTACATAATTTTCTCTTCCTAACAGCATCTCCATTTTCTTTGAGGAATTTACCTTTTCCTCCTTATGTGTCATCTTGGAAGGCTTGTAACTGGGGCACCCTTTCTTCTTGCTAAGGAAGCTAACAGGGCTTTGGAGGCTCTTTGCAGTAGATTTCTCTCACTGCTCTGTTGGGGGAAAGGAGGTACATTTGTGATCTAATCTGAGCTAATCAATTCTCCCTTCCAGAGTTTTGGATCCCAGAAGAGGCCCACACTGGTAGAAAGGACTGCCGGAAAAGAACAATTTCACTGGTGTTAGGTAAGAGCTATTCCCACTTCCAACACCTTCTCTAGCTCACTCATTCTCATCTGTGCTAAGCCAGTTATTCAACATCCCCTTTCAGTCTCTGAGCCTCCTCATATCGTTCTGGTCAAGTCACTTTTGCTTGGGTCAGCTGTATGTGTTTTCTGTTGCTTGTCATCAAAGAATCCTAACTGATAGATTGGTAATCAATAATTTGCTTTTCATAGAAGCATACATACTTTGCTCGTGAGTCACACAAACTCTAACAGTATGCTTCTGAAATATGGAGAAACCAGGGGGTATTAACTCCATTTTAAACAGAAGCAGCTAAAGTACTAAGAAATTCGGTATTTGGTTTATGTCATGAAGCTCATCAGAAGCAGGATTAATAATGAAATAGAGACCTATTAGCTCCTAACTCTGCCAATAATTAGTGGTGCGACGTTACTTAACCTCTTTTGGTTCCAGTTTTTTCAACTGTAAAATTAGAGGATTGGATCAGATGATCTCTAAGGCCTCTTCCACCTCTAAGATCATTTGGTTTTTCATCTGGGGCTCTTTTCTAGAGACTTCTGCTCCATGGTTGGAGACCCTATTCTGTGGACAGAATATATTAGTAGCTGAGATATAGTGTTCCTAGTAAAATAGGTTTTAATCATCTGTGAAAGCAAAATATGAGAATAGATTTCTTATTTGCATTTCCATAGGTTCTATGGCTATCTCTCCCTAATAGCAAAACTTTCCTTCTTTTCCCAAATAGAAAACATCTTAAATGTTTATTGTCATTTAAACATTTACCCTAAATGTTTAGAAACATCCTAAATGTTTATTGTCAATGGGAAAATCAGTGAATTTATCAGAACCCAAACTGAGACCTTTTGGCTTTGCCTAGTGGTGTATTTATATATTTAAAGCCATTAAACATATCAGGAGACAAAAATACATTGGAGTCTAGACGAACCATGAGAGACGATGGACTCTGAAAAACAAACTGAGGGTTCTAGAGGGGAGGGGGGTGGGAGGATGGGTTAGCCTGGTGATGGGTATTGAGGAGAGCACATTCTCCATGGAGCACTGGGTGTTATTCACAAACAATGAATCATGGAACACTACATCTAAAACTAATGATGCAATGTATGGGGATAATATAAGAATAAAAAAAAAATTTAAAAAAAAAAAAAAGGAATGAACTATGGACACTTGCAGCAAGTGGGTATATGAGGCTAAGCGGAAGAAGCCAGACTGAAAAGCCTACCTATCATATGATTCCATTTATTTGACATTCTGGAAAAGAAAAAGCCATAGGGACAAAGAACAAATCAGTGCTCATTAGGGCCTAAGGGAAGGAAGGGGGTTGTGACTCCAAAGTGGCAGCATGAAGAAGCTTGTTTGTCTGGTAGAACCCTATCTTGATTATGTTGGCGATTACATAACCCTAAGCATTTGTCAAGGCTCTTAGTACTGTATACCCAAAAAAAAAAAAAAAAAAGTGAATTGTACTGAATATAAATTTAAAAATAAAAATACATATAATGAAAAAAAAATACATTGGAGTCAACATTTCACTAATGTTCTTACATATGTTATCTCTTCCCATTTCTGAGAGATGTCATCCTCATGCTTACCATCTTAATAGCAAGAATTATAGTCTTGTAAATCTTAACTTGGTGAATACTTTGTTTCATCATCTTGTTCAACCTAAGACTTTAAAAAGCATATATCCCAAAAAGAAAATCTTACAGTGTCAATTTGTATATTACATGATTACCAGTGTCTGTTTATTCCTGCCCCCAATAAGAAAAGTGAAGCAAATGAAAAAAGTAAGTGAAATACAATTGCAAAATGGGAATATTTAATTGGAAGAATTGTTATCAGATATTTGATAATCGGTGTCACTCATCAAATGATGAAAGCACAAATGAAAGTTTTAAAATGGCTTTTGATAACATATTCCTCTGATGTTTTGAAGCACTTGGCTGAGAAATGAGTGTCTTCTAATTATAAGAGAAATAACATCATGAATTGATTTTCTCATTCTTGATGGTAATACCCAGAAAAGTTTAAGCAAATCCTATATAAGCAAAAAAGTACTGAATTATACATAAAAATTTATATTTTTTAAAACTCAGCTAAAATATGTTATTTTTATAATTAAAAAGTTAGTAATTTTCATAAGTTATTAATTTGCATTTGTTATTTCAGAAAAAGCACAGGTTAATACATATATACATGTGTACATAGACATATGTATGTACCATACATGCATACATACACACAATATGAAAATATATATTATGAGAAGATTTAATCCTGTCGATAAGCAGTTAACCATTTGAAGTAGGTGTAACTGACCACCCATGTCCACCATAAGACAGCTATTAAAATTTCAGAAAGTGATTTAAGGAAAGCAAACAATGTCCTGCTTATCACTTTTCACATCCAATTCCACAAAATAAAAAGAAAGCTTACATATGTTCTGTATCATTATAGTTGGTCTGAAGTAACAGAGAGCCCAAATCCCAAATTCATTTACTGGGGTAAGAACAATTCAGTAGTTTACAGAACTGAAAATTCTAGATGTAAACAGAGCTATGGACAAAGCTCTATCCAAGGCTCACAGCTCACAGGATGTAATCAGGACTAGCTTCTTCTTTGTTTATAGGTGATGCTTTTCTGGTTGGCTCAGGGTTTAAAAGGGCTTACCAGTAATTCTGAATCCACATGCTTATAGATTTAGATCCAGAGGTAAAGAAGACAAACCTCTTCCAGAACGCCCAGTAAAAATACCACTGTGATTTGGTGGCTCTAATTGGGTAACATCAAGAATGTAGAGGTCTGATTGGCAAGATTTGGATCACTTGACTTCTCCCTAAGCTGAGGGTGGAGGTGGGCATTAATTTCAATGAAAGTACACTGAATGGTGGGAAGGAGTAGAAGAAAATAACAGAAGAGTGAATAGATGCTAGAAAAGGAGTAACAAAAAAATCCACCTTTCTCCCAACCATGATGTTATCTCTCTCTGCATGAAAATACTGTGTTTCCAAGGCTCAGTCCTCAACAAACTATTTTGGGCTCTTCCATCTTATTGAGGAACTCATTCACTTTCAGTCCTCAGGTACAGTATCCCCCACTTTACCCTCAGTTTTTATTTTCTGTGGCTTCAATAACCTGAAGCCAATCACAGTCTGGAAGCAGATGATCCTTCTTCTGAGAGATGATCAGGCCAATAGCAGCCTGCTCTGTCACAATGCGTACACCACTCACCTCACTTCCTCTCTTCATGCAGGCATTTTACCATCTCACATCATCGCAAGATTAAGAAATATCCAGGCAACAATTTTTAAAGTTTGGTTAGATATCCTGATGCCTTCACAATGTAATTGCAGTCAGGATATTTAACCAAACTTTAAAAATTGTTGCCTAGACCTAAAGACAAAGGCAGATTGGAAGTGAAGGGGTGGAAAAGCATTTATCATGCAAATGGAAGTGAGAAAGAAAGCTGGAGTAGCAATACTTACATTGGAAAATATAGGGTTTTTAAAACAAAGACTGTATTAAGAGACAAAGAAGGGCACTGCGTAATCATAAAGGGAACAATCCAACAAAAAGATGTAACAATTATAAATATTTATGCAACCAATATGGGAGCACCCAAATACATCAAGTAGCTATTGACAAACATAAAGGAAGTAATCAATAGTAGTAATACAATAATAGTAGGGGACTTTAACAGCCCACTTACATAAATGAATAGGTCATCCAAACAGAAAATCAACAAGGAAACAGTGGCTTTGAGTGACACATTGGACCAGATGGATCTAACAGATATGTTCAGAACATTCTACCCTGAAACAGCAGAATACACATTCTTTTCAAGTGTACATGGAACATTCTTTAGAATAAATCATGTATTAGGCCACAAGACAAGTTTCAACAAATTCGAAAAGATTGAAGTCATATTAGGCATCTTTTCCAAACATAACACTATGAAACTAGAAATCAATCACAGGAAAAAGTCTGGAAAGAACAGAAATACATGGAGGTTAACTCACATGCTACCAAACAATGAATGGGTCAACTAAGAAATCAAAAAAGAAATAAAAAAATACATGAGACAAATGAAAATGAAAATACAAGTCCGAAATCTTTTGGATACAGCAAAAGCTGTTCTAAGAGGGAAGTTTATAGCAAAACAGGCCTACCTCAAGAAGCAAGAAAAATCTCAAATAAACAACCTAACCTTACACCTAAAGGAGGTAGAAAAAGAATAAACAAAACCCAAAACCAGTAGAAGGAAGGAAATAATAAAGATTAGAGCAGAAATAAATTAAATAGAAACAAACAAACAAAACTACAATAGAACAGATCGATGAAAACAGGAGCTGGTTATTTGAAAAGATCCAGAAAATTGATAAACCATTAGCCAAACTCATTAAAAAAACAAAACAAAACAGAGAGAGGACTCAAATAAGCAAAATCAGAAATGAAAGAGGAGAAATAACAACCAACACCACAGAAATACAAATGATTCTAAGAGAGTTTTATGAAAGATTATATGCCAACAAATTGGACAACATAGAAGAAATAGATAAATTCCTAGAAACATATAACCTCTTGAAAACTGAATCAGGAATGGGGCACCTGGGTGGCTCAGTCGTTAAGTGTCTGCCTTCGGCTCGGGTCATGAACCCAGGGTCCTGGACTCGAGCCCCGCATCAGGCTCCCTGCTCGGCAGAAGCCTGCTTCTCCCTCTCCCACTCCCCCTGCTTGTGTTCCCTCTCTCGCTGTGTCTCTCTCTGTCAAATAAATAAATAAAATCTTTAAAAAAAAAAAAACTGAATCAGGAAGAAATAGAAAATCTAAACAGAGCAATTACCAGTAATGAAATTGAATCAGGATTCAAAAAACTCCCAACAAACAAAAGTCTAGGACCAGACGACCTCACTTGTGAATTCTACCAAACATTTGAGGAAGAGTTAATACCTATTCTTCTCAAACTATTTCAAAAAATAGAA